CACCAGGTTTATAGGTGGCGTTTACCTGCTCGCTGCAGATATGGCTGATCACCCCAGCGTGAAGTAGCGATCTCGTCTCCACCAGGTAGTCGCCTATCGGTGCCCACGCCGCGCTCGTGAAGCCCCCTTTCGCTTTCTGTCGAACTGTTACTTACYCCCTCTCCCCTTGACACTCACTTTAGTTTCATTGCTCCACGACTGCTATCTCTCATTTGAATGCACCTGGTCGTTTTCAGCGCCAGGTGCAATCAAATAAAATATAAAAAAATCAACAACACATTCCAGTTTGCTTCTCCTCAGTCGCTCTTCCACCTCACTGACCAGTCCGCTTGATAGCGCGCAGAGAAAACCCGGCATGTGCCGGTCTGCTGACGTGGGTTGAGTACCCCTTGCACGCGTCCCAATCGCAACGCGTTGATCTTCCTGCGCCCAACATGGATGTGGGCTGTGTACACCTGGCATACCTCCGAGTCTGCCTAGTCCCCCTCTCCCCTGTTCTCTCGTGGTCTTGCCCTATATCCCGTTTTGGACGCAGCCCCCACAAGGTCAACCCTGGTCCTCAGCGGTACCTGTTCATTGCTGAGGGCTCGCACTCTCTGTACCCCCGGTACCAGGCCCACCACCCAGGCTATAAGAGGACTGCAGTCCCTGGCCATGGATTGCTGGAAAACCCAGGCCCAATGACCGAGCTCAGAGGGGGCCCAGTCGGTAGGAGCGGCCCGCAGAGAAAACGGATTCACAACCCTTAGTTGAAGGCCTTTTTCCAGGGTCTATAAAAAAAAATAACAGCATCGCACCTCAGAATTACCAGGTTCGGTCTCAGCATCCCAAATGCATTAGTCAGGTCAGCAGCAGTTCCGAACCTGGAGCATGTGTCGAAGGCTGCGGTCGTCTGTACCGTCACCACATCGAAGTTAGACTGGTAGTTATATCCAAAATTAGTTATTTTTAAGGCTCAGTGGACCGGAGCCGCCTCAACCAATGTTAGGTTCTGTGTCGAGCAGCAAGTATGTCCCACCAGCATCGGTACAAGAGTACTGTAGCACAGCCCCAATGTCACTCCAAGCACCACACGTGTCATTCCCATACCGGAACTGTTACCGACTGTGTGACGGCTCTGCAGCCACTAGCATCAGCCTAGTGTCATCCAGCACTAGTGAATAAAAGTTGTCCCGTACTCAATGCCTTAGCAGCTCCCACCAACCAATGATCGTGTGTACGTTGATTCAACGCCAACCCGTGAAACAACCGCCTCGAACTGCTGTGGCCCGTGTCATATTGCTCTAATCCTTTTGAGTCGTAGCTTATATCGTCGTCGAACCGCATCTGATACCGAACTAAACCCGAATAAGAGACAACCGTACCGTGCCGATGCCGTGCCCATGCCGTACCTGAGGATGTCGGTGCCGAGCCTGAGTTAAATACCTGTGATAGCGCCGAACCTGGAATAACCTGCCGTCTAGGTTCCGAACCTGAAATACATCGTCATAGTGGCTCCAGACCTGAAAGTAAGCCACCGTGGTGGTTCCGGCCCTGAAACAAATAGCCATGATGATGCTGATCCTGAAATAAATAGTCGTGAATAAATAGTCATGATGATGCCGACCCTGGAAATAAATCACCCTGGTGCCCGAACCTGAAGTACGCCGATACCGGCTCAGGCCGAACCTCAAACATGTCCGGTACCGAACCTGACATCATGCTGTCGGTCCAGTGTAACACGATCCTACGCTGTCCATATCCATGTGGTCATCGTCCGTACCGCCGGGCTCAGTAAGGTTAGTAATCAGGTAAATAGGGGACGCGTCATAGAGAGTTTCGATTATCGGGGGAATAGCAAAAAAAAAGTTAGAGCTCAGGGAATTTGATCAAATCAAGGTTCTGAGCTGACGGTGGATATCCCAAGCAAAACCAGACCAGGCATCGAATAATCATTAGCTCCTGTTTGTTCCATCATTTTTAATCGTTCATAGGTTCACCAAAAATGAATTATGAGGGAGTTTAATCAAATGGTTGAAATTCTCTCTTTTCTTCTCTCCCTTACCATTTTTAATCTTTTTCTCTGGTTTTCTATTTCATTGCTGGAAACATAAAATAACGAGGTATTTTCCCTAGAATTTAAATGCCGCGAAAAATAAGGGAACTAAGGGATATTACGTTTTTCTCTTCCCTCCTACTGTTTCCAATCTTTTCTCCCATCTTTAGTTTAGGTACCAAAAATAGACAAAAATTCGAGGCCTCATTTCGGCCCGAGCCGTATGCCGCAAAAACGTTGCGGCGAAGTCAGTTCCCGCGATGCCTCTCCGCGGCAGGTCAATCCGAGTCTAGCTCTCTAAACGGCCGGGAATGACGGTCCCTAGATGCGCCGAGTGTGGGCACTTATCTCGCCATCTTTGAGGGTTAATCGTAAGGCTCAGTGCGCCCAGAATCAGGGGTGCCCTGAGTTCCCCTAATTTTTGCTGCCTGGTGTAACCAGAGTACCGTCAAAACTCAGACTCCTCTTCGCGCCTAAGTCCCAAAACCGTAGATTTCAGGCGGCGCACTGCTTGTGACCGCCTGACAACGGTGCGTTCAGGCATACAGCTACCCTCAGCCTTCTGACACACTGCATTCAGGCATACATCGACCCTAAGCCTTCAGATACAACAATGGTAAGCACAAAAAATGCAAGGGTGCGAGCAGAAAGAAAAAGGGGCCTACTAATAAGCAACCGGCCTGACTAAGGGAAATGACGGAAGTGAGTAGGGAGAGGGAGGAAGAAGAGAGGAAGCGAAAGGAGCAAAGGGAGAGAGAGATAGGGGAGGACTCGGAGGCCGGGGWGAAGGCTATGGCCCTCGTGAGAACYAGGACCGCCTTGCTTCCCCGAGCAGCTCCACCCCTTTACCTCCCTCTTGCTTGCCTTTGTCTTTCTCCTTCTCTTACTTGCTCCAGCGTAGCAGCTCCGGTCCGCCGTTCCGCCAGCACTTCCGCATTCCCGCAAGTGAGGGGCCCCCTCTCCAAGTGGCACGGCCTCTCTTTTATAGTGAAGAGGCCGGGTGGTCGGGCGAAGTGCAGAAGTCCTTGGGCTAAAAATARCACAGGCTTGTGCTAAAATTAGCACAGACCTGTACTAAAATTAGCGCARGACTRGGACAGTCCMGACTTTGGGACACRAACWGTCAGTYCCGTGCTAAGAATAGCACAGGCCTGCGCTAAATATAGCGCGGGCATGTGCTAAAATTAGCACGGGACTGCGCTAAAATTMGCGCGGGGCTGGGACAGTCCCGRCTTTGGGACACGAACAGTCAGTCCCGTGTTRAAAATAGCATGGGCCTGCGCTGAATATAGCGTGGGCCTGTGCTAAAATTAGCATGGGACAACACTAAAATTAGCGTGGGGCTTGGGATAAAAATAGCTCGGGCCTGCACTAAAAATAACCCAGGCCTGCGCTAAAAATGGCGTGGCCTACGCTAAAAATAGCACAGACCAGTACTAAAATTAGTGTCGGACTTAAACTGGCCCGACTTTGGAATACTAAGGGTCAACCTTGTTTTGAAAGCAAAAACATCCCTCTTACTCATAATAGGGGCCCAATCCCGTATCCCCCTTGACCATTTCGGGCCGTACTCTTCCCGACGCGGTAAGTCCGATCCCAAGTGGTCAATTCTCACTAACCTTTGGTCCGTTTTCAGCGCCATTCGGACCGGGCCCTACTAATTTGGCCCTTGTAGACGCGGTGGTTCAGCCAAAAAGTCGTGATCCGATCTCCATGGGGCTTAACCGTCGTGCAGTCTTGCCTACTGACTCGACCCAAGGGGGCCAAACAAGCGAGTCAACAATCTGCTGATCGCGACCACACGCAGCTCTATAGTGCGGATGCTGATCGCGACGAATCAACTATACGTTGACGCGGCACGCCGCTTTCCGACAACGCGAGCGCCATTACCGTGGCCAGACAAGAACAAGCAGATTAGGCCTTAGGTTTTGGAGGAGAAAGTCGACCTTGCCGAATGCATGAGGGAGGATGACGTGCTTATGGCAGCCGCTGATGGCAGGCACAACTGTATGAAACGTTCAGAGAGAAACGAGTGGGTGTCGAAGAGGATGGGGGAGAGGGGGTGGAAGATATCGGTCGAGGACTGCAGGAAGAAATGGTCAGAGTTAACGAACAAGTTGAGGGTCATCAGGGACAAGTGTGGGGCATCGGGCAAACCCTCATATTGGGAGATGACAGGGGAGCAGAGAAAGAAGGAGGGGATGTTCCCTGCCCTCGAACAACTTGTGTGGGAGACCATGGCTTGGTACTCCAACTTGCCGTCGCTAAGGTGTGACAATACGCTCGCCTCAAGTGCTTTGCAGACAGGGGACGGGGGAGCTTCGGTAGAGGTACATCGGAAGGGGGAGGGACACCTCAAGGCGGAGGGACAACGCAAGCAGGGACGACAACAGCCGACGGGGCGTCAGATGCCCGTCTTGCATCAGCAGGGGGCGGGACATCAGATGGGCAAGGAACGTCGCAGGGGGCAGGAACTTCTCAAGGAGGAGGGACGGACGAATCAGAGAGCGCATGGAAGACACGTCACACAAGCGGTGGGAAAGGTCGGGTTGCAGGAGAGAGCGGATCAGCGGTTTCAACCATCGCCGAAACAATGCATGTGTTGACGTGGGTGTACTGTGAAGGATTGGACAAGGCATTGGACAAGGCCGCTGGTGTGCTCGCGAAGATGAGCACCGAAGGAGGGAATGTTGTCGCTGGCAGGATAAGTGACATGGCCACCCAGATTGGTGAGGTGGCGACCACCATGCATAAGGGAAATGAGGTGCTGGATCTGCTGGTGGGTGTCATGGCACGACGAGGGAGTATCGACGGTGGGCGATGACGAGACAATAACAGTTCGCGGTGTTGGGAACGGTACGGTTTCCGAGGCGTTTAGGGAGGGTTGTCACTTTCCATCCTTCGTTGTTCTCCACGGGTGACGGACGTTGTGGCCGTCGTGAGGGAGAGGGTAGACGTCACAATCGTGAGAGAGAGAGAGAGAGAGAGAGAGAGAGAGAGAGAGAGAGAGAGAGAGAGAGAGAGAGAGAGAGATGCTGGACGTCGTGGCCGTCGTGAGGGAGAGGGTCGACAAGAAGGAGGTCGTCGTGCAGGAAACAAGGCTCGAACAAGGGAGCGAGCGCCACCGCCAAATGGATTGGGGCCCTGGCGTACAAATCGACCAGACGCGTGTCTATTACGCACTGCTGAACGGCTTGATGGCCATGCGGATAGTGGCATGGCTGGGCTACGACGGGGACAACAACCTCATGGAGGTGGTTCTCTTGGTGCGGAAACTATCCAATGTTGTCCCCGACACGTGGCAAACGCCAAACCCTGATGTCGTGGGCGACATGGTGAGGTACCTCATCTCCGCCATCGTCGAGGAACATGTGGCGGCCATGGATGCGAATGCGTCGTTTAGTGCGGAATTGGWCCCTCCCCTTCGCGGGAGGGGGTACCTTCATGGCGCTGTCCGGATGTGGTGCCCGGAGGAYGACATCAGGRCYGCRTGTAACAGGTGGTGAGGTCGAGTCTTCGTACGCAGCGACAGGCGCATGGATGACACTATTGAGGTGCCGCTAAAATGGCCTTCCACGTGTGCATGACGGGCGATTAGTGGGGACCGTTRATGGAGGGGAGGAGGGTTGATTGGAGCGGTTCGCGGACCTCCTATCCTGTGCATRACGGGCGTGTGTGCACATGTCTTCGCAGTGCGTCGATGGAAATTGGGTTTGRGTTCTTCCACATGGACGAACCGGAGATGGGTCAATCCTTCCTGTCAAGGRAGCAATCAATGCCCATCTCCRGTTATGTCGAGTCATGATAATTTTTGGTGCGATGGCACAGTTCACGAATGAGGAGAGAGGATATACGACCTGTAATTTTGTTGTCCATTTGCGTGGCTTGTTTTTTGTGTCTGGGTGTGTCGAAGACAGTACTGTGTGTGTGCAYGTGTTTGTGTGTCCTTGTCCTTGTTTATTACAATCATGTTAAAATTTGTTGTTGGAGTGCCTAAACTTCGAAAGACTCAAATTCATTTCGCCAGTGTCGTTTTCAACATTTGAACCGTTCTTCTGCTCTCGTTTTTTGTGTGAATGGACGAAGTCGAGCGGACATAACAGGATTGTGTGTTGTTGCTGCGAAAATGTGTTGAGGTGTTGAACACCACCAATGGTCGATGCTGATATGTGCATGCCATGACCTTGGTCGAAACCAGAAGACAAAAAAAAAAAAGAAAAAAAAAAGAAGAAGAAAAAAAAAAACACCAACACAGGATCGTTGTGTTGAACAACATGCATGAAGGAATTTCTGTTCGTTCGGAGAAAGAACATCTCTCTCTCTCTCTCTCTCTGTCTCTCTCTCTGTCTCTGTCTCTCTCTCTCTCTCTGTCTCTCTCTCTCTCTCTCTCCCTCTCTCTCTCTCTCTCTCTCAAATACCAATCACACGATTCACACCTCTGCATATCGGACCTCCTATCAACCTATGCCTCTGCTCGTGCAGCCACGCGATGCCAAGGAGCTCGTTGTGGCGCACCATGCACTTGAACATGGTGGACGACATGCGTCACTAACCTTGACCTACATTCCGCCCCCTCCTTGCTGCCATACGAYTCATCCGTTGAATCSTGMAAGGTCTGTCGTCGTCGTCGTCAYGCGGMTGGGYTCCTTGCTGGCTGCGGACGTGGCGGAGGGTTGTCAACTTGTCATCGTCGGAGYCATCACCGTCGGAGGCGCAAAGCTCGTCGACGTCCACATTGTGGTCCARAAGAATGTTGYGCAATATACAGACGRCCATGAACTCWTTGCACAACGTCTTGAAGTTGTCAATCTGTCGATRGATGAAATTGCGCCACACAGCCTTTAGAACGCCGAACGTCCGCTCGATGACACTCCTTGCAGCGAAGTGCGAGTCGTTGAAGGTGACATCGTCTGCGGTACGACGACGAGAAGGAACTGGCGTGATCAACCATGGCAAACAAGGAAAGCCTGTATCCCCCAGTACATTGYRGCCAATTCTTGTCCCGTCAGTGAGCGTGTGTGCACCAACAYTGAACACTCCTACACCGTTTTGAGCGTCGGAGTACAAAGGAGATAGCCGCAACACCCGAGAGTCATGGTTGGACCCCGGGCACCCGACGTACACATCCAAAATTCTGCACTCGTGGTCGCAGACCACCTRCGCAATGATCGAAAATTGTCCCGTCCTGTCGTAGTAGCACTCGCCAYACTCCTTCCTCGACTTTTTAATGTACAGGTGAGTGCAATCTATCGCACCCACACAACCTGGAAAACCSTTCCGTTCAAATGCATCCAGTGTCTCCTGGAGACGGCGACCCCGTGGGAAGGAGATGACATGACYGTATTCCCTGATGATTGCGTCGRCCACCTCTTCGTTGCTTCGCAGTGCACTGGCGAGTCCCATGCCCAACCCATGAGCAGACTGTCTGTAGAAACTGCCAGTGGCCCATCTGATCAGCGYGCATGYAAATTTTTGTTCCGCAGGCAGTGGCTGCCTCCAATTCGTYGTTGCCTGCTGAATATGAGGTGCTATTCGGCGCAAGACGTCCTCGAACARTGGACGAGGGAGCCTACAAAACCTTTTGAAGACCTTGTCGTGTYTSCTACSYACACGTTGGAGATCCTTCCACACACCACCGCTGCGATCAAGTACCCAAATCCTTCCACTACTCTCGCCTCTCTCGTGAATGGCACTCAAAGTCGCATGGAGGAGATGAAGGTTGTGACCAACACCATATGTCAACAATGCCAAAACAACCRGCATTCCAGGATCCCAYAGAGGCAATGACGCTGCAGCCTCGATARCGGTCATMGCCGCCTCGTTCCTTTGTTTCATCCACTGGATGATGACGAAAACCAACATGAACAGCATGTCGTCCCACTCCGCACTCGCATCCGAGCATGCACCGCTGCCAGGTCCGYTGTCGAGTTCCATTGTTTCGTGCGTGCCAGGAATGTCCCCATCTCCATCGCCGAAACCTGCTTCCATGGCCACACGATGARCCACTTTCAAGCGGTGAACGTAAATGGCGACAAAGCGTCCCACAACACGACTTGCGATGGCGTTGCAACGGCGGAGGGAGAGCCAACGGTCAGTGGTCTYGACCCAAAGCCAAACGGTCGACGAGACACTCCAGCAGCCGTGAGGTTCCACRATAGTCARGTCMTGTCGCTGGGACCCGTTCTTCTGTCGCCCACACCTCCTATTCCCGTCACACCATGCTGTGCTTGTGCCGCGCATGGACATCCGGTGGACCRAAAACYGAACCCGTTCAATGACGGCAGCCACCGTAAACTTCCCATTTCGGGAAAGGTCTATTTCACTTTCCAGTTTGGGCAMKCAGGTCGTCTGCGGACGCTAAAATTYYGTGGTGCGGTKGGGTCCCGTGTTCCTGGAAACCTCCGTGCGCGGTGGACGAWCCCCGTYCTGCGYGAACAAATTGTCTGTCTTTCCGCGAGGCTGTGGGGTCCAGCCCCTATTCTCGGCGATCCCAAATCGACAACGGCAAAAGCGAAAAATGAGCGGCAAGATGAAAAACACAGCCGAGGGACAAGTCTGATGACGCACCACGAGCCGCGTTTTTTTTTTTTTTTTTTTTTTTTAATTTTTATAGAAGGTTTGCAAATGCATTACCAATGAACAAGAGGCCGAGAAAACCTCACAATCAATCCGGAGGAAAAACTGGGGTCATTACCCAGCTTAGGCTTATGTTGGAAACTGAGTCCAGCGTCTCATACTTCTCTTCACCTATCTTCTACCAAAAACTCATGAAGCACCGACTGGTATTCCCAGCTTCTCAAGCAAAAGAAAAGGTAATCTATCACTATTTCCAATAATGTTCCAGGGAGCAATCCCTTACTTCGTTCCATGAGAGTCTATCTTCGACTCCCCGTCCCTATCTGAGACTTCACCTATTCACCTACACTGTGCCCCCCTGAAATTCTCCATCTTTAGTTCAGATCTAACTGTAGATAACCGGTAACCAATCGCCCAGGTCGTCGAAAACCAGATCTTGCCTTTTTTCTGCCAGTCTGCCCACATTATGTTCCTTATCTCTGCTTTAACCGTATTCTCCGTCTGCTTCAATGACCAATGCTCGTCCTTAAACAAGGCGTCATTCCCGGCCTGCCATAGTATCCTCATACAGATGCCTCTACAGGTCTGGGCCACATATCCCCAACCTCTATCATACGGTTACAGCTTTTTTGCTACGCCAGTCAGAATCCACGAATCAGTCCACTCAAAGGCCTGTTCTGGGGGTGGGGCTGTGATACTCCCCCAATGGCGTTTCCACCATTGCCATAATCTGATTGAAATGGGGCAGTGCATCCACATATGTACTGTAGACTCCCAGGCCCACCTACACCGTGAGCAAGTCTGAGAGACCGTCATACGTCTCGAGGCCAGCCAGGTGGCTGAGGCCACTACCTGCAATGATTGAAGCCATAACAGAGTTGCGGTCTTCTGGTTGGTCATACACTTCAATTAAGCCCACAAGGATCTTAGATCATTTGTTGATAACAGATTCGGACAGTAATCATTCCACCGCTTAAGTGCCAGTGTGACACGTGTTTTTGCAATCTTAGCCCGCTGTTGTTCTCTCCCTACCTTTGATGAGTAGAAGGGTAACGGTATTTGCTTTGTTTCCCTTCCTTTCTCCGTCCATCCGTATAGATAGGGCTCAATCTTCAATATTGAACTGAGAACGCCTCCTTGACACATTTCTTTTCCCTTCGCATCCACTGTTATCCAGATTCTTGCTTCCTCCAGATCCCCTAGAAATCTTTCTGTCCTTTCTTCTACTAGTTGCAGAGGCCGTGAGAAGGGTAGTGAGCAGTTCATTTGCAGACGTGGTTTCCACTCTCGAATCTTCGTGTCCAGCGTCAAGCTTGGACCGATAACTCTCCATAACTTTTCTTCTGTTGTTGGGGATCTGAACCATGTGTCCGTCTTCAGAGATGCGGCATCCTTTAGAAGTACTATCCACTGTTGTGGGATGGCCGATTTTAATGCTTCAAAGTGAACCTGCACATTATGTAACCGTGGGAGAAGACCCCGAAGTGTGGGAAGGGTAATCCAGTCCATAATAACATTGTCCGCAAATCCCTTACCTTCAAACACTCCTTTTGATATCCAACTCCCGCCAAAGCACCCTGCTGTATCAGCTGCTGAGAAGGTCGATCCGTCGGATTGCAGAATGTACACATTCTCAAAGAGTAGCTGGTTTAAAACCATGTCTTTCGAAATCGGAGGGTTAATAAGCTCTGGGTGTAATTTCCTCCAAGCTTTAAGAATGTCTCCCCAAAGGCGGGATTTTGGACGCTTGTTAGCAATGACGCCAACATAAGACAAGACCAAACTGTACTTCCATCTTTCAGCCCCCACTCAGTTCCTAAAATATATTCAGCCAATTCAATCCATATCTTATGTTCCCCTTTCCCAACTGACGTAGCCTTCACTGACCATCTCGCTAATAAGGCCAAATTCTGTTGTTTGGGATCTATTAGCCCCAAAACCCTTTCTGATCTGGGCTGTGCTACCGCCTCCCAGGCAACTTTGGTGAGATAGCCCTCTCCTTCTTTTAACGATGGCTTCCATATATAGCTGGTTGCTGCTTGTTTAACATTTCTATATGCTCGATCACTCAGCAAGTGCACCACCAGTGGGAACCATAAGATGGAAAATGCCGCTGCTGTTAGTATCAAAGCTCAACCAAATAATGATAACTAGTGCCCTCTCTCCCAGTTTGCTATCCTAGATACCACTTTTGTTTCCAAGATGTCGTCTTGT